GGCCCGTGGGCCGTGGGCGAGGAGACGGCGATCCTGCACGGCGGCTTCCTGCTGGCCGCCCGCCTGCTGCAGCCGCGGCCGCTGCGGGAGCTGCGCAAGGCGGACTGGCCCCGCGCCGGGGTGCCCATCGCGGACGCGTTGCGCGAGATCGGCGAGCGCTGCCCCTCGCCGCGGGGCCGCTGGAAGGAGGAGGCCGTGGCCATCGTGTGGGCCAAGATCCTGCTGCCCGCCCCTCCCGCGGCGCTGGAGTGGGGCTGGAAGGAGGACGGGTTCTTCTCGGTGGGCGCGATGATCCCCGATGTGAACCACACCGCGCTCTTCGAGCTGGTGAAGGCGCTGGGCGCGCCCCGGCTCTTGGTGCAGCTGCTGCTGGCGCTGCCCCCCGGCGTGTGCCGGGCACAGCTGGAGAGCTTGGTGCACTACATCTCCAGCGACACATCCCCGTCCGACGTCAGCTTCTTCCTGGACGTGTGGTGGGAGGTGCTGAAGCACAGGGAGGGACAGGAGGATGCCACGGTGGCGGCGTTCGGCGCTCTGATCCATCAGCACGGCGGGGAGCCCTCGCTGGAGGATGGGCTGCAGCCCCCCAAGAGGTTCAAGGGTGACCCCGCTGCCCCCGGGCTGCCGGAGGTGCTGCTGCAGGGGTTGAAGCAGATCCGAGGCTGCATCGCCCAGCCCCGCCTGAGGTGCCACGCCCTGGCCAACCTGGCCGAGCTGCTGTGCCTGTCCTCGGCGCTGGGGCCAGGGGACAGCCCCCTGCCCATCGCAGAGCACCTGGCCAAGCTCAGTGCCGTGGTCAGGCTCTGGAGCAGTGACCCTGACAGCCAGTACCACCCCTGTGGGCTGGGGGAGAAGGTGAGGGAGGCACAGAGGAGCATGAGCCTGCTGTGCCTGACCAGACCCTCTCGTGAGGAGCTCTTTGCTGGCTTGGACTTGCTCTGCAGCTTGTTGCAGGCCTGGGGAGAGGAGCTGCAGGACACTCTGAGGGCAGCTGAGGAGCTGAGCTTCGAGAGCTACCGGCTGCTGGAGGCTCTGACCAGCCTTGGGAAGAACCTGGATTCCCTCTCAGAGACCACAGACCTGGGAGAAGGTGAGACACATCTGGTGTCAGAGCTGGCACAGCTCACCAAGGACTTCCTGAGGGACACCAGGGCTGTCCTGGAGGATCTGGACACCAGCCTGGTGTCTTCAGTTGCCATGGCCATCATTGCACAGAGGCTGGACCGCCACCTGGACACCTGCTCTGTTTTTGCATCTGAAAAGACCTGGGCTTGTTCAAAGGCCTGGGTCGAGTGCCTGGTGGAGAACAAAGCTCTGTTCCAGACCCCTGAGCTGGTTTTGAAACTGCTGGAGACACTGGTGAGCTTTGCCACATCCCACCACGACAAGGAGGCCCAGGAGCTGCAGATGCAAGTGACCAAAGCCATCGTGGAGTGTTACACTGAGCTCTCACTGAGTGACAAGAACAAAGTGATCTCAGGTGTCCTGGCCTCCTGGGGTGGCCCAGGTGTGTCCCAGAACGTGCAGGTTGTCAGGGAGGGGTTCCAGGAGGACCTGAATGTGACTTTGAACCAGATCACAGAGAGTGTGTCTGACGAAGGCCTGGCCAGGGCCGTGGCTGCAGTGGCCAGGCTGACACTGCTGTCCCCCGAGGCCACAGTGAAGCAGGTTTGTCACCTTGCTGTGGTCAACCTTGGAGCACACCAGTTCCTTGCCCAAATCCTCTGCTCCTTCCCAGCACTGAGCTTTCAGGAGAGTCACGAGGATGCAGGCAGGCCACGCAGCCTGGTGCTGAGGTGTCTGCAGGAGGCAGTCTGGGGGAAGCTTTCCACAGCCAGGGAAGAGGAGCAGTTCCTTCAGTTCCTGGCCTTTCTCATGCAGCCAGGCTCAGCCACCCCCCTTGTGTCACCTGCAGAAGTGACCAAAGCCTTTGTCCTTCCCTGTCTGAAGTCAGACTCTGCTCAGATTGAGCTGAGCCTGCAGATCCTCAGTAAGGTTTTGGGAACACCGTCCTGCTCAGAAGAGCACTGGATCAAATCCTGCCACCCATTCCCGCTTCTCCTCAGCCTCTGCAAACTTCTGGATGGTTACACCAAGTACTGGCATCAGCCTAGGGAGCAGCTCTTCCCTTCCCTGGAGACCAAAGATCTGATTCTGAACGTCCTCTGCCAGCTCTGTGAGCTGCTGGGCCCAGAGATTTTCCCCTCCTCGGAGCTGTGGGTGCAGTCTCTGGCCTGGCTCCACAGGAAGGTGGCATCCCTGGACTGGACCGTGGGGCTCCGTCTGAAGAACCTTTATGGTGACCACTTCAAGAACGAGGTCCCAGCAACGCTGTTTGAGATCTGCAGGCTCCCTGAGGACGAGTGGACATCCCAGTCCTGGCCAGCCTACGGGCCGGGCAGCGGGCTGCTGGCGTGGATGGAGTGCTGCTGCGTGTCCCCAGCGCTCAGGGACACCATGCTGGCACTGCTCTCCGTCAACGTGGACAACCCTGAGGAGGTGAATCTCTTCAGCAAAGGCTTCCTGGTGGCTCTAATCCAGGTGCTGCCCTGGTGCAGCCAGGGGGAGTGGAAGAGGCTGGTGCCCGTGGTGGAGCAGCTGCTGCGCAGGCAGGTGCTGCACGTGCCCTACACGCTGGAGTACGTGCAGCACCTGCCCCTGCTCAACCTCCGCCCCTTCTCCTGCCACCTGCAGCTCTCCGTGCTCCTCCTCAGGGGCTTCCAGCTCCTCTGCAGCTCCAGCTGCTCCAGCTGGCTGCCCCCAGAGGCCTGGCTGCACCTGGTGCAGCTCTACTGCTCCAGCCTCACCGAGCTGCTGGCCTCCCTGCAGGCCACGGCAGGAGCCGCGGCCCAGCCCTGCGCGCAGGAGGTGTCCTTCACCTGCATCCAGCTCTTCTGCCACCTGCTGCACGTGGCTGCCATGCTGCCAGCTGCGGGCTGCGAGGAGCCCCTGCTGGTGGTGGCCCTGGAGGTGCTGTCCCAGTACGAGGCGTCCAGCAGGGCTGACCGTGCGCCGTGCGCCGCGCTGCGCAGAGCCAACGAGGGGCACTTCCTGCAGTCCGTCACCCACAGCCTGGGGCACCAGGAGCTGCGCTGCACCCTCCTGCAGAAGCTCAGCAAGCTGGGAGCACGCTCAGAGCACTGAGCTGGGCCGTGTAAGATGTGTAATAAACCCTTGTTTTTCATTTTTGAGTTTGTTCCCTCCCTGCTGTGTTCTCCCACTTAGCACTGGAAGTAGGAGTATAAAGATGGGTAGGAGGAGATGCTTTGGTTTTCCATTGGAATAACTGGGCACAGCTGTTCCTGAGCCAAGCTGCCAGTTCTGTGGCTGCAGCCTTGCCTGCTGGCTCTCTGCATTTGCACAGCAGCCTCCAGCATCGAGGAAATCGCTTCCCTCTGGCTGCTTTGCCACCAGCCCTCTCCTAGTCCCGGGAGAATTGCTGGTTTTGCCACGTGCTGCCTGAGGCTGGAAAGCAAGTTGGAGGCTGGGAATCGAGTTGGGTGAGTTCAGGACAGGCAGGAACCTTTGGAAATCCATGTGTGCTGCTTCTGCCCCGAGGTGGGGGTGCAGCAGCAACCCCACATGTAACGCCCCCACCCAGCAATGAACAGCACGTGGAAGAGCCAGCCAGTGGTGTGACTCAGAGAGGAAATCTTTATTGGTCTCCTGATAGTAAATAGGGCAGTGTTAGTGCAAACTGAGGTGCCTCATTGGCTGGGGTTTTTTTTTGGTCCTTACATAAGGCACGTTATTCGCAATGAAAACAGTGAGATACAACATCTGTAAGGAGTTGCAGGAGTTTGTAACATCAGCTGGTCTCGGTGGTTACTGTGACTGTGGAGTCTCTGCAACAACAGCCACAGGTCGGAAGAGGCCCTTTTTGTTTTTTACACTGTATCCAGAACGGCAGCTGTGGTTGGGATGAGATCCAACACCCAGAAGATCCAGGTTCCGCAGAGCTCGCCTGCTGGTTTCAGACAGAATGAAAGGCACAGAGTGGTCACAGGTCTCTGGGCATGGGGGCTGTGCCAGTGCAGTTCCCTGCCTGGAGCAGGCACAGGAGGCTGCAGGAGGAGGTGGCTGTCCTGGCTGGTGCTGGCTGCAGGGGATGAACTCAGCTGTGGTCTGATTGCACACATCCTGTGGTGCAGGGCAGGCTGGGGAGCCTGTGCCCATTTTGCTGTGACTAAAAGTGGAAATGGGCTGAGCTGGTTGAGGACCAGCTCAGCGTCCTGCTGTGGGGTTGCTGGTTCCTTCTGTGCAGCCCCAGTTGTGTCCCTGGCAGCCTCACGGGGTGGGATGGGGCTGCAGGGATGGCCTGTGCAGGTGTTTGCAGGGTGTGGCGGTGCCAGCTGCAGGGCAGGGCGTGCCAGGTGGTGTTAAATACCTGCTGAGGGGATGCAGGCCAGGTAAAAGCAGCTGTGGTTAGGGGAGGGGAAATTGCACCCCTTGCCAAGGAGGGGCTCTGCACAGTGCTCTGTGTGTTGGTGGCGAGACAAGGACTTGGCAGGCTCCTGTCCCCGTGCTGCCCTGAGACAGCAGAACCATTCTCCTGTCCTGGCATGAGCTTCTGCCCTGCTGGGAGCACAGGAGTCCCCCAGGACCGTCACAGGTTTGTAGTGAAAAGCACCCAGAAGCACCGGGTGGGTTGAGTGGAGCTTGAGCCCAGCAGCAGCAGCAGGAGGAGGTGAGGTGCAGGTGGGAGGTCGGAACAGGGCTGTAGTGTAGAGCTGAGGTCAGCAAAGGTCGGGAAGGGCTCTGCAGAGCTGTGCTGCAGCTCCAGGCCTGCCTGGGGCCGCGGCAGGTCCGGCACAGGCTCCCGTGGCCGGGGCTGGGCCCGCTCCAGCATCGCCGCGCCGGTGTCCGGTGTCAGCGCCGGGGGGGGGCTGGAACAAACCCCTCTCGTGTAACCCTCGGGCCGCAGAGCCGCATCCCAGCGGGAATGTCGCTGCTTCCAGGCCGGTTCCCCTCGGCAGGGGGACACGAGCAAAGCCCTCCCAGCCCCGGCTGTGCTGCCCCGCAGGCGCTTCCAGCGGAGCCGCCGCTCCCCGAGGGACGCTGCCCCGTGGCAGCCCCGCCGTTATCAGCTCCGTTATCTGCTCCGGTGCGCGGCAGAGCTGCGGTAGAGCCGGGCGGCCTTGCGGCAGATGAGCGTGAACCAGTAGAGCTGGGGGGCGATGAGGGACGCGTTGGCGATGTTGCAGTGCAGGGGGATGCGGAACGGCACCAGGTACGCCGGGATCCCCACCTGGCGGCCGTACGCCGCGTACATGAACGGGAACAGGAGGATGCGGCACAAGAAGAAGGTCACCAGTACGATGATCCCGTTCACCTTGTGCAGGAGCGTGTCCTGCATTTTGAGCTGGGGAGGAAGGAGGTGAATGTGGGGTGAGCAGCATCCCAAAGCTCCGGGGCACTGGGAGCATCCCGGAGGGCTGGAGGAAGGGGAGTGGGAAGGGATGAAGGAGGGCAGGGATGGGAATGAACGTGGTGCAGGAGAGGGCAGCACCAGCCCAAGGCACAGCCCCCAGCTCTGGGACGCCACTGGGCTTCCTGGTGGGAGAAAGGGAGGAAGGCAGCACTGCCAGAGAGATCTGTGCTACAGCTGTGGGGCTGCCCCTCTCTGAGACACCCCCAGCTCAGCCATGCCTGGAGAGGGGCTGATGGAGCCTGGGCCAGGGAAGGGGGATGAACTGCTGCTGGGGGCTTCCCAGCCCTGAGCCCCGTCCCTCCTGACCTACCTGCATGAGGATCTTGCCCAGTGAAACAAAAGGCGTGCTCAGCTCTGCTGTGAAGATGCAGCCCACAAAGAAGTCCCCCAGCTCTCCCCTGAAGTGCTGTAAAGAGAGGCAGCACTGAGCACAGGGCCCTGCAGACACCCAGCACGTCCAGGGGGTCCTGGACTCCTGCAGCAGCCCTTACCTGGGTGATGGGGGTGAGCACGATGAGGATGAAGAGGTGGTGGGTCACCATCAGCCTCTCCTGCAGGAGGAAGCTCCAGACGCTGGCCAGCGAGTGCTTCTTCTCCAGGATCCCCTTCTCCTGGCTCTTGTGCCAGTGGCACAGGTACATGACATAGATGTCATAGGTCATGTAGGGAACCAGCACCCAGACGTACTCCACAGCCAGCCAGTGCCTGGGGAGGAGCAGCACACACACAGAGGCATCACAACAGCTCCCAGCACTCACTCTGGGACATAGAAGAGTCTTCAGGACTGAAATGGCAGCATTTCAATGGATTTTGAAGCTGAATTTTAACTCTGTTTGGCTCAGGCTGAGCCAGAGAAAGGTGCCTGGTACGTGTGGAGGAAGGATCTCAGTGCTGACCCGCTGCTGCTGGGCTGTGCCAGGCACTGAGCTCAGCCTGGCCCAGCACAAACACAGCACTAAGGATGGATCCTGATTAGCCCCACAGCCAGGTGGTTGCTGCACGGAGACACAGCATTTTTTGGGATCCAGCACCAAGCCAACACCTTTGCACAGGTGATCTCCTCCCTAAGCCCTCAGACCCCCAGAGCTGATGCTTGGTGGCGGAAACCCCCAATCCTGGGTCTCTGCCGCCTGTCACACTGCACCAGCTGGCTGCCTAACCCAGGGAATGCTCGGGAAGCACGTGGAAAGCTCCGAGTTAACAGAGATGGCTGGCCTGGAGTTTGGAGAGCGAAGCACAAAATATCCAATATAGGCGATAAACCCCCAAGAGGCGTTTGTCAGTTGGGAAATAATTGCAGGCAGCTGCCTGTTCCCAAAGCATGTTGGAATCCTGGTTGCACAATCTGGGCAGCAGCAAGCCCTGCTCTGCAGGGACACCAGCCTCCTTAAAAAGTCCTGCATGAAATCACACTGATTAAAAAAAAAAAAAAAATAGACAAAACCACCCTTTGCTGCTGCTTGGAGAAATGTAGTTTGGGGCGCAAATCTCTTTTTTGCTCTCTTGCCATCCCAAGGAAAAAAAAATTGTTGTGGCAGTTCTGCTCCAGATGGGAAGATGTGAGGGGTGTGAAGCACGGGTGGCAAGTGATTGTGTTTGCTAAACTTGCCCAGGGCTTTGGAGGGCAATTACAGCACCAGCAATATAACGATTGTCTGCCTCTGTAAATAAACTGGCAAATTTTACTGCAACCTTTGTGATGCTTCCTGGCTCGCTGTCTTGCTGTCATCCTCCCTGCTGAGCACTGGGCTCAGTTTCCTCCAGATTCAAAGAAAATCTAGGTCTCTGCCCACAAAGTGTTTGCACAGAGCCCTTGGCCTCGAGTACACCCAGGCAGGGAGACAGCCCCGGGGGAAGGAGGGCTGCTGGCAGCACCTTCTGTCTGTGTGGCTTTGGGATCCATCATCTGCCTTATCTCTACAGCAGAAATTTTATTTCAGGACAAAAAGATAACTCGTAGATTGCCTGGGTTAAGCAGGTGTGAGGATCTGGGTAGATATCACTACCTAGAGCAAGGCAACATAATTCATATCTGTTGTGTTAAAGACAGGTGTGCTGTGGCCAAGGTGGCAGCCCTTCCTAAAATTCACCATAAAATCCGTGTGTGACAGTCAAATTCCAGCTCAGCATAATTATATTCTTCCCTCCTGCAATCTTCTCTGCTAGTCTGGATAATAGCTCTGTTTTTAAGCCTTCTGACCCAGATTACACTATCACTCCTCCTGAGAGCCACTTCTGGGCAGTTTATCTCAGAGCACAGAGGAAAAGGCTGCAGGATTTTCCTTAAGAGCAAACTCCATCCCAACTTTACCATTTCTGGACTCTTTCAGAATCCTTTTGGATACACCTCTAAAATCAGTTCTTACCAGGTCTGCTTGACTCTGTAGAATTTCAGTTTCCAGTAAGGAGGCTCCCTACCCTTTCAGAGCTTTGATATCTGTATTTTTCTCGTATACAGCCCCTTTTCCAGCCCATGTCCCAGCCCATCCTTTGAGGGCACTGTGCTGGCAGAGCACCCCCAGGCCAGAGCACGCTGCTGCTGTTTCAGGGGCTGTACAGCCAGCACATTGCCCAACCCGAGTGGGGCAAAGAGGAGCACGAAGCCGATTTTCCTCTCCCCTTTGCACAATGTACAATACAAGCCTTTGGCAGAGCACATCCCCGGCACGTCCCCAGGGGGCTCTGCCTTACCTGTCGTGCACCACGTTCTTGCAGCTGAGCATAACCGTGATCCCCGACACCGTTGCCATCGCGGCTTGGACCGTTGATACCAGCCTGAAACGGACAGGGAGGAAAGGGCTCACCCCAAAAGTGACCCCAAACGGGCCGGGGCTCGGGGCTGCCACCAGGAGAGCGGGTGGCACCGGGATGCCCGCTCCGTGCACACCCCAGCGCCTCGTCATGGCGAGGACGTGTCGGGGCGGCCGTGCCAGGGGGAACCGTGCCAGCTCCCGTCCCTTCCACCCCCGTGGGCCCGGGGAAACGCTGCCGGTTCCCCGTGGGCAGAGAGAGGGAGGGAGGGACGGACGGAGAGCTGCAGCGGAGCATCCCCGCCCCGACAGCGGTACCGCGGCGCGGGTCCGGCCGGGCAGGGATGCCGGTGCTCGGGGGATGCTCTCACTCGGGGGATGCTCTCACTCGTGGGATGCCCGTTCTCCGATGGGATGCCCACGCTCGGAGGGACGCCCGCACTCGGGGTGCTGCTCCTGCTCTCGGTCCTTGCTCCCCCCGCTCAGGCCAGCCAAGGACCGTGCCCCGGAGCGCCTCAGCACCCCCGAGTCCAGACTCACGGCCGGCGGGACTCGGTACTCGTGGCCCTCCCGGATCGCTCCCGGTCCCCATCCCGGTCCCGCCGCTGCCGCCCGTACCTGCCGCTGAGGAGGATGCGGTCCTTGAGGCTCAATGCCGGGGCGGCCCAGCGCAGCAACCGGATGCAGAGGATGAAGAGCCCCGGGAAGAAGGCGGAGGCGAGGGCCAGCGTCCGCCACATGGGGACGAGCGCGCTGTCTCCCGCCGCCGCTTGTCAACAGCCGGCCGGGCGGCGGGAGAGCCCGGCTCGGCTCGGTTCGGCTCGGCTCGGCTCGGCTCGGCTCGGCTCGGTCCGGACCAGCCCCGCCGCTCCCGCCGCCGCCGCCGGGACGCGCCCCGCTCCGCCGGGCGGAGGCTCCGCCCCCGTCCGGTTAAACCCCGCCCACTCAACGGAACCACGCCCATCCCGGCACCTCCCCGGTGCCCCGAGCCCCGCCCCCCGGCGGCCCCACCCCTCCCGCGCGCTGCCGGCGGAAGCGGCGCCGCCATGGAGGAGGACGAGCCGGAGCTGGAGGCCGGGCTGGAGGCGGCGCTGGAGCTGGCGCCCGCCGTGCAGGCCGCCATCGAGCAGGTGCGCCGGGCAGGTCCCTCCGCGCAGGGGACAGGTGCGGGCACGGCCCGGGGCCGCTCGGTGAGAGCCCGCGGCCGGCTCCGAGCCCCTCCCGCCGGCTCCGGGCCTTCCGCTGCTGGGCCCGGGGAGCCCCGCGCTGGCCGAGCCCCGTCAGCCCCTGTGGGCTCCAAGCGTGGCTCGTGGTGTTCCCGTCGCTGTTGCAGACGCGGTCTGTGTGTGCAGAGCACCCCCGTGCAGTCCGGTGCCCGTGGCTCGGCTGGAATTGGGATAATGGGAATGTCCTGGTTTGGTTTGTGGTGAAACACACGGGGTTTGCATCCAGAGGGTGCTGGCACTGCCCAGGATCCCCAGGGAATGGGAATGGGCACGGCCCCGAGGGTGCCAGGGCTCCAGGGTGGTTTGGGCACCGCTCCATGGATGCCCAGGGTGGGGTTGTTGGGGCTCTGTGCAGGGCCAGGGCTGGGCTGGATAATCCTTGTGGGTCCCCCATAACTCAGGACATTCTGTGATTCTGTGTTCCCCGAAACCCTTCGTGGCACCTTTCAGAATCCTGTGAGAACCCAGGGTCAAAACATGGCTCTTGTCCTCTTTGAGCCTGCCCTGCCCTGCCTGCAGTGACTCTTCCACCCCGAGGGCTCTTCCTGGAGCAGATCTGGGCAGCAGCAGTGTCTGCCTCACAAAGCAGCACTCAAATTTAAGTTTTTGCGCTTTCTTGAGTGTTGAGGCTTGTGGGTCGCTTTTGGTGGCCCTCCTGGAAGAGCAGGGGGTGACCTTGGGAACTGGTAAATTAAATGGCAGCTTCTAAAGGAGACCTAGAGCTTGTCCAGAGAAAGAATCCTCTGCATTTGCAGAAATGAGTTTTTGAGCAGTGGAGAACCCACCACATGCCTGGCTGAATTATTTCAACAAAGACTAAAGCTGTAGGGAAATATTCGCAATATTCACTGGGAGATGCTGAGGGTGACACCACCTGCTGCTTTCCATTTTCCTCTCTAGCACCTCTCAATAACCCTGTTGTTCCTGTCAGTGCTCCCTAACCAGTTTTGGGGCAGAAGCTGCCCATTTCTGGTTAAATGAGCAGAGCAGGCTCAGCTGCCGTGCCGGAAGCGGGGTGGGGAGCACAGGCAGGGCTGGTGCCCCACCAAAGCCAGGCCAGCACTTCTGATTAATGGGTTGTGACAGATTGCTGGGAGTGACAGCTCCTGCAGCTGCTCCAGCTGCCTGCAGCACTGATCCCTATCTGCACTCGGAGTGGGGCTCCTGAGCAGCCTTTATCTCCCATCTCACCTCTTGTTTCATCTGCTCTCAATACCTGTGGAGATTTGGGGTTTGTGGGGATTGGTTGAGTGTGAGCTGGGAGCAGGATGGGCTGGGTGTGATGCTGCAGTTTGCTCTTACCATGGGGTGATGTCAGATTCTCTTCCCTCACCACAGCCTCGTGCAGGTTTGGCAGCTGCCTGCTTCTCCTGGGCCACAGGAGTCACTGGGAAGGCTTCCCAGGAGGGCTGGTTCTTTTATCTTTTATTTAGAATTTGCTTTTATCTCACAAAATCACTGATTTCACAGTGCAAAATGTGTAAAACACTGTGTCGCATGTGCCCAGGTGTGAAGGGTTTCGGTGAGCGGGGGGATGCTGTGGGGTCAGCTCTGCTTTTGCCAGAGGTTGGCCATGATGGCTCTGTAAATGTGGGACAAATAGCAGCATCGTGGAATACTTTGGGTTGGAGGGGACCTTAAATACCATCTCCTTCCTTCCAGCATCCCAGGCTGATCCAAACCTCATCCAGACTGACCCTGAACCCTTCCAGTGATGGCACATCCACAGCTTCAGTGTGCTGGCAGAGAAGGGAAAGCACCACACTCCACTCTGTGGGGACAAAAAGCAAATCCTGGCAGTTGTGTTTGTGTTGTTTGAGCTGCTGAGGAGAGATGAGATCTGTTTGCACCACAGCTGCTCTTTCCCCTTGCCCAAATCATTCAGCAGATTGTGTTTCTCTTCTGTGAAAAGTGGCAAACCCAAGTCTCCAGAGAGCTTGTACAGCCACTCCTTAATTCATCACGTTTCTGATTCCAGGGCTGTGGAAGACAAACCCTCTGCCTGTCACCATGAGGCCTGGCAGAGCTCTTGCCTGCTGAAAAGAGCAGGGCAGAGCCTCAGTTTGTTCAACAAAAGCATCTGCATGGTTTGGGATACAGAGCTCGTGTGTCCTGGGAATTCCTGGATGGATGGCTTGTGCCAGGGCTGTGTGTGTGAGTTATCTGTGTTAATCCAGGCTGATAGCCACAGGAATTTTGGGAGGTCACAGCCCTGCAGAGCATGTGGATGCTCTGCTCCTGGCCACTTGTTAGAGAAATGCTGTGAAACACAGCTGGAAGTGGGTGCTGAGGGAATTAAAAGTTGTAGAAGCTGTGTAAAGTTACAGAAATTACTGGTGATGGTTGATTGTGTTTGTTTTCCTCCTCCTTTCCAGGTATTTCCCAGCCAAGATCCACTGGACAGAGCAGATTTCAATGCTGTGGAGTATATTAATGCTCTCTTTCCCACTGAGCAAGTAAGTGATGCTCCAAATACTCTCAGGCTTCACTTCCACACTTTTTACTATCAGATTTTACTTCCACCCTTTGCTATCAGGGTAACCTGAGGGCAAATGACCAAAGCAGTGCTTAAACCTGTACCCAAACCTTTCATTATAAACACTAGCACAGGAAATAAAGCTTTAACAATAATCACTTCCTAAAGTGATTTGCTCAATGGGTTTGCTGTCATTTTGTGGTCTCTTTCCTCCCAGAGTGCTTTCTGCAGTTAAAGTCCTGCTTTGATTAGTAGAAATAAATTAATTTTATATGTGGGTGGAGTAAATGTCATAACTTGCCACATATCAATCATTGGTGAGTTCCTGGGGTTTTCAGCCAAATCAGGCAGGTCTTGCCTGTACAGTATCACAGGAGAGTTTGAACCCAATTTTTTATTTTGAGATTTAAAGGATGATATTGCTGTGGGCCCACATCCCTGCTTTGTGTTCCCAACTTCAGCCCCAGGGAGAGTTTTGGATTAACCTCTTGCCAAACAGAGATGTTTCTACAGGTGAATTTTGTGTCTTGAGGCTGCTCCAACATCTCTCATGTCTGAGATCCTGTGCAGCACCGTGGTTTTGCCTTGCAGCTTTCTCCAGTGCTGTGATTTGGCTTTTTTCCCCTTTGCCAGCAGGGAGGAGCTGTTTCCCCAGCAGTGCCTCCTCTGCATCCCCTCCCAGGCTGTTTTCTGTGGTTGTTTTGGCTGTTTTGTGTGGCTCTGGGCTCTGCAGGGGGGTCTCAGCCCCGAGGCTCTGTCCCAGTGCCCACTGGAGGTCACTGTCACACCGTTCTGCCGGCAGAGCACAGGGCACAGCTCAGCGATGGGGGAGCCTGACCTGCCTTTTTCTGCTCTTTGGGATGTGACAGAGAAGCAGCTGAGTTGTCTCAGCTCCTCCACCTGTAAAACAAAACCATTGCTCTCCTCTTCCCCAAAACCCCTGTGTGATGGAGTGTTTGGGATCACATATTCCTCTGTAAAGCATTCACCTTTGGGATCACATATTCCTCTGTAAAGCATTCACCTTTGGGATCACATATTCCTCTGTAAAACATTCACCATTTCACTTCTCTCTGATATTTTTTTTTTCTATTCCAGTCTTTGGCAAACATTGATGAAGTCGTGAACAAGATCAGGTTGAAAATAAGGTAAATATTTATATTTCTGTCTTTCATGTATCTCAGGTTTGATTGTCACTAAAAGTGCTTCAGCTGTCAGGATTTAGTTTGTTTAAAAGGCATGGATAGGACCAGCCTTGAGTCTAACAGTGGCACAAAACAATTATAATTTTTATGGCACAGAAACAACTATAATTTTTATATTTCACTTCTATTATGTGTCCTTCAGGCTGTTTAAACTGATTTGTTGCAAAGTGCAGCTTTGAAAAACAGCTAAGAACCAAAAAATACCAAATTTTAGTGCAGTTTGAAGGCTGAGTGAGCAAACTACCCAAAAGACTCAGTTGCCAAGAATTCATAGTTTTTAGGGTTCGAATATATTGTAAAAACTCCCACTCTCTATTTTTACATTGTTATTATTGGTCCTAAAAGTACAAAATAAACACAAATGTGCATGAAATAATTAAATTTTCTGTGCTGGCTGATGCTGCCAACATGAAATGATTGAGACAGCACTTTCACATGTGGGAAGCTGAAATGCAGACAGACAAGGGAGAGCTGACAATATTGCTTAAGGGAACAGGAATGCAAGAAACTCTGGGTAAATTAGGAAATGGATTTTTATTTTTGCAACAAGACTTTGAAATTGTGCAAGATAGTGCCATTGAACAGAGAGGGAGGGGGGGAAATAATGAGTTTAGCATTGGTTAGAGCAGGGTTTTTTTTGTTTTAAATTGGTTCTGTAGCTCTCAGGACTCCCCCAGTTGTTTGGGTCAGGCTCCCAGAGCTGGGTTTGACACTCTGGGGTTTTTCCTGCAGGAGGTTGGATGACAACATCAGAACTGTGGTGAGGGGCCAGACCAACGTGGGACAGGATGGCAGGCAGGTATGTGCAGTGCCAGGGCCTCTCAGCCTGGCATCTCACCCTGAGGAATGGCTCTGGCAGGCAGAACTCCACTGCTGCTGCTGTTCCGAGATGTTCCTGTGCCTCTTGCACTGATGAGCTGCTCACTCAGCAGCTGCTGTGCCCTGCCTCACCCTCTGAAGGGAAGGGAATGAGGAATTGATGTAAGGATAAAAGGCAGGAGGCCTGTGTGTCACTCTGGAGCTGATATAAAACAAGCAGCTCTGAGCAGGTACAAGTACATTTGATCATGAGTGGGGATCAATCCAAGGCTGTTTGTCTTTTTCACTGAGCTGTTTGCTGGGGTGTCCCAAGTTCTGTCTCTGTGCTGATCACTGCTGCCCCTTCCTCCTGCAGCTCCTCAGGTTTTCACTCGATTTTTGCCTGGCAGAGGTGTTTGCTGGGGGTTCAGCACACTGGTGAACACAGCCAGGTCTGCAGGGGCTGTGGGTGCTCAGCTGATTTTGGGGTGTCACCTGCTTTGGCTCTATTTCCTGTCCTGTTTTAGAGGGCACTGAACCTTGAACCATCAGTCAGGGTTCCTCAGTGACTTCTTAATACCAACTTTAACACTGGCATGGGGTAATGCCCCTCTCTATTTCCCACTTTTTAATACCAACTTTAACACTGGCATGGGGTAAAGCCCCTCTCTATTTTCCATTTCTTAATACCAGCCTTAACACTGGCATGGGGTAAAGCCCCTCTCCATTTCCCACTCCTTGCTGCCACAACATTTGGTATCTATTTCTAATCCTATTTCTGCCACAGAGCCCTCAAGGGAATTATTGAAGCTGTCTATACTTTTGTCATGTTTTAGAAAAACATGGGAGATGCTCACCTGTCCTGGCAGAATTAGTTGAATCATGGATGTCTCAGCAGTGCTGTTAAACTGAGGATGTGCTTGGGATGAGGCTTACCTGGGAGTGGTGCTGCTGTAATTATTGTGCAGGATTGAGAGCAGCAATCAGGTGGGGTGGCAATTACAGAAATTGAGGAGGGAGTGGAAACTGGTGCAGTGCTTGGAGAGTTTGGCTGTGGTTGGAAAGCTGGACCTGCTGTAGCCCAAAAGGAGAAAAGCATCTGAGAGGATAAATTCTCTGAAATAGCACAAAAGAGTGGGATTGAGAAGAGCTGTGGGTGAGAATTGCTTGGAGAAAAGGATGAGCACAAGCAGTGCCATGATCAGTGCCTGGGGGGTTACAGGAGCATTTCTGTGCTGTGGGGATGGGCCAGCTTTGCTCAGAGCTCTGTCCTGGGTCTGTTCTTTCTCACTCTTCCATCCCTTTGAAGTTCTGCAGGGCATGCACAGAGGGACTTGTCCTGCTCTGAAGCACCAGGAAGGCAAAGCTGTCTGTGCTGCCCTTCCTTCAGTGTTGTTGTAGAGGAACCAGTAAAAATCCTGATTAACTAAAATCCTTCAAGTGTTCACTTGGGTGTCCTTGCAGGACATGTTTTAGGTGGCTTGGAGCTGCAATTAACCACAAATATTGCTGTATTTAGCTGTGGATTTTCCTGTTTTCCCTCATTTTGCTGCTTTGCAAAGTAGAAGCAAACTTTAAGACAGATTCCAGAGCTTGCAGTGCATGGGCTGAGGCCAGACAATCTCCCAGATGCACAGCTGTTGTTTCTTCTTTGAAATCCTAACAAATACTGAAACCATTCAATTATTTAATGTGTTACTTCTCTGGCAAGAAAAATAGATTGATTCTGAACTGCTGTGAGCTTTTTCTTTCTATGTTTCTAGTACAACCCCATTGTTTCACACCTGGATTTGCATTTTTTTGTGTGAATTGCTGGAACCAGACTGTTGGAGTGGCAGGACTTGGCTGGGTCTTGAAGTTTAAAGCAGTAAAGGAGCATCAGCAAGCTCAGATTTTGGAGATCACAGGGACCTGCAGCAGAGGAGGTCTGAGGAACTCCTGGATGGCCTTTCAGTTTTGAGATGGAATTTTATATTTGTTACCCCAAAATCAGAGAAAACCTAGAACGAGCATTTCTTTTTGTTGTCACCCTTGCCCCTGTGTCCCCTGGGTGTCCTGGGTGCTGTGTGGGGGAGTGAGGCACAGCCCTTTTCACATGACCACCCTGCTGAGAGCACATTGTGGGGGTGCAAACCTCGTTTTCCAGCTTCAGCTGCCTGTTCCTATGCTGAAAAGTGCCTTTGTTTTGCCAGAATATTCACTGGGGGAATCAAGGACACTTGGAAATGTTTTTATAGAGTGAGAGGCCTGACTGCTCCCACTTGGAGAGGAAGGGTTTTATTTTCCATGCAAGAAATTGTTTTGAAACAACTGAAAACAAGGTGCTGTTAAGGCAGGTCAGTTCTGTGCTTGGAAGGGAGTTGCTGTTTTCCTTATTTAGTTTTCCTGGTAATTTGGTCCCACAGCAAAATTAAGTTCTTGTTTCTACTCATCTATTCTTGCTAAATTTGTAGGAAACTTGTATCCTCAAGCCCAGTATTTCCCTGCAAAATTGGATTGACACCTCCCCATGGACAGACAGTGTCATCCTGTGAGCCTCACCCTCAGGCAGCCCAGGATGAAGATCATTATTGCATTTTATCATCATAACCACAACTGCAAACCACCCTTGATCAGGAAGGAAACAGTTGGCAACCAGCTTTTGCAAGAGCTTTGAGACAAAGCTCAAAGGCAGCCACATCAGTAAATTCAATCTCTAATCTTCTTCCATTTGTAACTCTTACCATCAGAGGTGTCTCCTGCCTGTAGTGCACAGAACTTGGCTTTTGGAAAAGTCAGAAATTTTTGGAAAATTCCTGTGTTTTGATTTCCATCCCTTGGCACACTGAGATCCAAGGGGAGCACTGCAATCCATCATCCCTTTGAAAGCATGTGCCATAAATAAAAATGCATCTGAGCTCTGATTTTGTAGCTGCTTGGATTTCAGTGGGAGCTCAGGATCCTGTGTATTTAACTGCAGGATTGGGCCTGAAAGGTGTTTTTCAAACATATCTTCCCTTCAGTTATTCTCTCCTAACAAGCCCTGATATTGTGGCCAGTGTTTGCCAGCATTGCCTGTGTTGTGTTGGAGATGTCCTTGTCTGAGGGGTAAATAATAGTTTGAATAAACATCCTTTCAGTCTCTGACTTCCTTCCAAGGGAAGCACAAACCCTGGATGCAGTGACAGAGGGAAAAACAAGTTGTTTAAGTCAAAGCAAGCCAAGAGGGGATTCTTTGCTGAGTCTCTGCCCCTGTGCTGGTCCATCCCATGTCCTGGCAGGTGAGGGATCTCAGCCTTGTCTTTCCCATCTCCTGTCAGCCAGAACTGCCCAAAGAATGCTTGGGAATCTTGTGCAGGCACTTAATTCAAAGCTGCTTGAATTACTGGGGTTTATCACCAACCTGCCCACTCCCTTTTTTAGACACCAGTGATCCAGGCAGGTTCCTAGAAGAAAAACTGAGCTTATCAAGCCTTGCCAGCCTGTTTAGTTCTCTTTTTTTGGAGGAGAATGAGTTATTTACCCACTGAGGCCAGCCAGGAGCTTTCCAAAGCTGTCTTGTGGAGCTGCACCTTCCCAGCTGTCCAGGAGAGGGGAGCCCAGCCTTGGTTTTGAGAGCAGGATAACGTTTCCAGAGGAATCTGAATCCCAGTCTGTGGCACTGGGGAATATGGAGTGTGCAGCTATGGAAATGTGCTCTCTGTGCTCCTTAAGGAAAAGGAGACCTCAGGGATGGGAAGTCCAAAATGCTGATTGCAGATCCAGCTGCTCCAGCTGTGCTGGAGTCTCCTGTCCTGTCTGGCTGGGATGATGGTTGGGATTTCTGTGTCCCCCTGCCTACTGAGCAGGGCTTTGAGCTGAGTTGTGGCTATGAGAAAGCATTTCAGTAAGAAATTTTCATGTGAAAATAGAAAATAGCTTTTTATTTTTTTGTTTATAATCTTTTAAACTGTTCCCCAAACATTCTTGCTCGTGTGTGGATAGATTAGCAAGGAGGTGTTTGAAAAACCAGATTCTGAGTCTAAAAATAAAGGCCATCAAATAGATGTGGCCCCAAAAGAGTTATTTCAGCAGCTCCAAAGGCAGGAATGCTCCCTTCCCCACAAAGCATAACGTTCCCCAGTTCAAAGCATCTGCCTTCTTGAAATTTTGCCCTAGAATTTCCTCCAAATGCAAAAAGCCTTAAAATAGTCTGGCTCATTTGGCTTCCCCTTCCTGGTGCGATATTTCAGTGAAATCTGCAGACAATGCCCCGAACCTCAGAAATTATCTCCCTAATGATCCTTTTATGGGAGGAAACAACAGCCGTGGGTGGAACATTCCTCTGCAGGGTGTAACAGAATTTTCCTTGGGAGTCCCAGACTTGGACTGTTTTGGATGCTTTGGGAGAGGCTGGGAATGCAGGAGCTGCTGTGCTTCAGTTGTAGCAGTTTCTAGGGAGCCACTGCTGCGCAGATTTTTCCTCTGGAAGGTTTTTTTTCCTCCCTCAGAGCTGCTGTTGGTGAACTGACCTTGCTGAGAGCTGCAGCCCAGTTGTGGCATCATTTCCTCAGTGCCCTAGGGTGCAGTAGAAAAAGTTCCCATAGATTTTTCCAGGGAGCGTTGAGCGCTCTCCCTGTGGTTTGATGTGTCACTCCTCAGTTGTGTTTATTGCTGCAGCTTCTGCATGGGCTGGCTGTAATTTTTCTGACAGTTGCTGACATGCCTTTGCTGGTTGTTTGGCTGAAGCTGCTTCACCTATCAGGCTTTTGTCCTTGTAATAAGTAGCCTCTGAATTTACTGGTGGTTTAACCCTTGGCAGAGTCTGTGCAAGCAGGGTGAGTAAAGGTGAGGTGGATTCAGCTGAAATCCATTTTAGAAAGAATCAAGAGCTCCAGAGCAGTCCCAAGATCCCAAATGGATCTGTGGTTTGATAGTTTGAATCTAAATAAAACCCAACAAACTTTTCTGTTCTCTCTGGTCCATCTTTCCCTTCCTGCCCTGTGTAAGTGACTGAAGTTGCATCAAACAAAGACTGTGTTT